AGGAGAAAGAAAATGGTAGCACGAGCTACTTGTTCACCTAAAGTTAGGTGACCATCGCTAAGACCGGTAAGCGAAATATACTTACAGTTATTCTTTTCTTTTTTCTTTTTTTTTTTAAAACATTGCCCTAACTTTAGGATAACATTATCCTGTGCTGTAAGGACGTTTTACAAACATAAATTTCACGCGGACAAACATCCAGATGCGAAACAACTACTGTGGGTCACACAAACAGTTGTCTCGTGTGAGAATCGAACCCACGACCTCCAACGCCAAAGCCAATACCTTGGCAACTGCGCCACGGAGTCATCAAAGTTTTTGCAACGATCTAACCATAGTAATCTCACCCCAGCCAAATACTTGCCACAAACCATCACGATAAGACTGAATTGGGTTTTAAAGATTTAAATAATGCCTTTACCACGGACGATTATATCATCACTGTCTTCCTGACTGATATCATCACTGTCATATCCTGTGATCATAAGGCGAAATAGTGCTCAAAATGCAATTTTTCTTTATCTCTCCTCGTCTTTACTTCTACGTTATCATGCAGCCCTTCCATTAAGTAGATATAATGTTTTTGCCCTACCTAGAAAGCTCCGTCCACCTCCATGGCACAGATAGGAAAAATAACACCTGATATGTTTAGAACAGATGTCGTTAAACTATCGAAGGTGACGGCGGTCGCGGTAAGTACCAAGACGACTCGCGCGCACGCATCGAGGTAGACGCTATATGGGTCTTGGCCAGGCAACTTTTTCTTGCACACTTAGTACTAAACTAACGCTCGACCTGTCACATGTTTATGCGATCCTGGTAGCTCGGCGCATTAAGGGCGTATAAGCATCGTATATTTGATTGTTTCTATGAATTTATATTAGTCATTCAGTTATACAACAAATGTTGTTTATTAACCTTCATTTATTTTTTATTGCCTATTAATTAAAATGTTAAGATTATATAGAAATGAGTACAAAAGACATTTTGCATTTATAGTCAGAACTTGTCGAAATTATAATATTTTTATTAACAAAAATCATAACAAACTTCAAATAACTCACTCCGGTGTATCTCTGCACTATCTCAGGAATCAAAGGTCCAATAAAGTTGGAACCATATGGGAGCTAAGCCGAATACAATGAAAAAGAATTTTCAAAATCAATTCAAAAATGACGGAGCTCTTAAGTAAAAAAAAAATACTACCGCATGGAGAATCTCGGCCTTTTTTAGTCTTCACTTTAATTCTCTTTAAACAAAATCAAACAAAATTTGTATATTTACAGTCAAATACGAGCAATTTCGCTCTGTGCCTTTTATAAAATTGGATAGGTATTACTTGTTTTATTTTTCGATTTTAGAGGGATAAGTCGCTTTATATGATAGTAGCTTCACAGCCCAATTTGGTGGGAATTTTCCATTCATTTCTACATGATCAAAGTTTATGTTATAGCTACAGTCACGAAGGAATTTTCAAATTAGAATATCTACGTAAACAAAATGTAAGTAAGGATCTAAGGAACGTATTCGGCTTTGACATCTCGAAATTAATTTATTTTCAATATGGATTCATATCACTCATACATGCCATACTTTTGTAATATATAATCACAGTTATTATGTGACGTAATTTTAAGGTTGTGACGTATCCGAATATTTTCGGCTGGCATAACGATTCGAAATATTTTTCGTCGCTTTCTTTAAATACCACTAAACAGACAGGCTGTTGCGCCGTCAGCCTTGGTATTTTGGTGCTTATTGCCTCATAATGCTCGAGTTTATTTAGGATAAAAGACAATAAAATCTTGAATTGACATACGGCCCGCGTTGCGTTACAACATAACAGTAAACATCGTTTTATCGCGTCGAAAATAAGCAACTGCATTCACTTAACTTGTTACATGGCGCTAAGTGCATCGAATTTGATTATGTACAAAATACAGATAGGAAAGAGATCGCGCTATATATGTATCTATATCTTGTATCATATGACAAATGCATTTAACTTCTGTTAACTTCAGTGGTACATAATTAAATAAAATGTTTTAAACTTTAGCATTTTAAAATATGTCTAAAAATGTATATATACGACAGAAAACACGTCAAACGAAGCAAAATGCTGACGAACATAATAGAACGTTGAAAAAATTATGCAATTAATGTAGTCGCGTCGATGTAATTCGATAAAACTGTACGAAAAATCGCCAACTCTGCGATAAAAGTTGAACCTTTTAATACCATTCTATTTAGCAATTGAATTTAATTTTGATATTGTAGGTAGTTAGACACACAGACGTACGCCACACATTTTATTACTTGCGGAAAACGAGGCCAGACTTTTGTTTATCTAATTAAATGCTTCTTTGCACAACGCGTTATTTGAAAATTAACTAGGAAGAAAATGGAGACTTACAGAGCATTTCTTCAATTATAATACTGTTATTTACATGAATATTATAATCGTACTGCATTAGGACAGTGGTAGCACCGCCACCACCATTTTTACAGTGGTAGAGCCACGCGTCAGCTGTGGCTATTGCACAAATGGGCAGGCTCGTAAGAGGAATTACCACAGCTTCTAAGAAGACCAACGCGAAGTGGAAGTATAATACTTTCGCGTTTCCTTCGGCGAGTGAGGTAACCGGGGCCCGCTTATTATAGAGACTTTCAAAGCATCTTCACTTCACTTATTCATCTATCACTTCATAGCATATCACTTAACATCAGGTGAACTACCTGCTCGCTTGACAACTTTTCACATAATAATAATAAGATGAGTTCTGTAGATTTTATTGTTTTTATCATTGACGTCAGATTAGTAGGTTACCTCATATTAAGTGATGGACTAATTGAACTCGTAGCATTGCGATTTCGTTACGAACTTTAAAAGAACCGCCTCCGAGTGAGGTAACACTTAACTCCTGAGTTATTAAGACCTGTCTTTTGTGAGACCCGGCTCACATGAAGCAAAAGAAGCTTTGATTTTAACACAGAAAGCGCCTCTCGTTAGCAGTAACTAACTTCGTTAACTCGCAATAATTCAGTAATCTAAACGAAAGCTAAATTAACTGGATTAAACAGTTAAAATGTGTAGATAAAATTGTTTTGTAAAAAAATCCGCAGTCAGGTCTTAAACCTGCGCCTTCTAGATTACGCGTCCAGGCACTCTAGCCACTAAGCTAAGCAATTTTATCCAGTTCATCTTCAACACATTTTCGATTTTAGAAATCTCATACTCATTATCTGATGCTTTCACTCGGCATTCGTACCAGGAGCGCAGATTTTACAGGGTATAGCTGAACAGGCTTTACTGGAAATCATCTAAAAGCAGTGGCGTAGAAAAATCATTCCCTCGCAGAGAACTCGCTCGAACAGTTGCACAATTGTTCGTTAAGCATTATATCAAGTTTAATAGTATTTGATTGACTTTAATGTGTAACGGTGCGGGAACGAACCCGTTCTCTAGGACTTACTCGTTCGTAACTGTTATGTGCTTTGTTGCGAAATCGAATCAAAACATGCTTCAGCACGGAAGATTACAAAGCGTTCATGTTGCCAATCTACGGACCCTCGCGGTGCAACCACGTGCGGTACGCGCGGTAGCTAGTACATGAATTGCAACATTACGCCAAGGATCGTCCTCTGTTTGTCAAAGTGTCGATCTCTGATGTTTCTCCCTCAATTGGCACTCTCCATAGTTGGTGAGATGATGATGTCAGAAAGTGGTAAATCATTTGATTTTTTACACTAGTTATAATGTTACTATTGAGAAACGTCGTAAGTTTTGTTAGTGAAAAAAATACAAAAAGTGTTATAATACATAATGTATATTCAATGAAAGAACATTAATTTCGGTAACAACTTTAAATAGCATATTGACTTATAATTCCGAAAGATTTGTAGGCCATTTTATCTGTAATATCATCAATACTAAAAGTTTTACGATTTAGTAAAGGCACCATAAACGCTTCTAAATTCCGTCGTAATTCTACATACACTATTCAGTTATTCAAATTACACAAAACGTAACCAAGAGCGTGTGTTTTTAAAAATGAAACCTGATTTCGTAGCAATATTTATACGAGGTTGCCATACTCAAAGAGCCTGTAAATAATTCAAAAGATTTTGGTTTTCGAACATCATTTTGTGAACTACGACCAATTATGATGTTAAAACAACTTCAAAATTGACCATAAAAAAATTGGCATCCCACAAAGCTTTGATTCAAAAATGGAATTCGATAGATTTTCTAGATTTTTAACATAAAAATATGTACAGATATGTATAAATAGGAAATATATGTGATATTAGTGAATGATGTTATTAGATTATCGCGTTATATAATCGCGTGTTATGTGAAAGAGACTGTGAATTCAATGGCAGAAAGAGCAACTGTTACCGAATTTTAATTGGCCACTTTCTTTAGGCGTGCGGCTTTAAATTGCATAACAACGAAATGAGAAACAATTATGTACGTATTAATATACCGGAAAGGAAGTGTTTGGGCGAACTTTCTAGAAGCTGTATATATTTTTATGAGATTTCGCTCACGCAATATTTTATCTGCGAGTCTAGAGACTGGCCAATTACTCTGGCTTGAGAGATTTTATTAAAGAAAGTCCGGTCTTTGTTGCAAATGTTTGTAAAAATTTTATTTGCCGCTGCTGTTACTGACTGGTAATTGCACTTAAATAGGCTATTAAACGTAAGTCTGGTGATCATTATAATTAAATGAAATTAACGGAATCCTTGGCTAGCCATCGAACTTAGTGAAAATGTATCCAGACAGAGCTAATTCAGACGTTTAAAGACCAAATTAAAAAGCTAGGTAAAATCTGATCCCGAACATTATAGTTTTTTTATGTGAAAAGTAGCCAAGCGAGCGATGGACATCTGCTACACCCGAGGCTTGCAGATGCTTTGACAACCTTTTTGAGATATTACGGCAAAATGCTTTTACGATCATAATTATTTTCTGCGTAGATTTGTTCGCCAATGAGATGCCGCGTCGAACTTCTGTCCAGAGCAGGCTCTCGCGCGGTTCCGTACGCGAAATTGAGTGGAAATTACCTTTAATGCTCCCACCTGAGGTGTGTGGCTGCTGGCTCTGCTGCACATTGCTCTGCGCCTCCAGCTTCGTGCTCACCGAGTTCCACATGTCGAACATGTTCAACATCATGGGCCCCGAGGACCTTTCGCTCACAAAAACCTATCCATAGTTCACGTCAACCACACGCGAACACCATCCATTATTGTACCACTCTGGAAAGTTTCGGTCCCCTCAAAACTGTTCGTCCGTTGTACGTACAAAAACTTAAGGCTACTTGCACTGATCCCCGGTTCAATTTGTATCATATATTGCCATATATTTTCACTAATCAATATTTTTTTTAATAAATATTCTTTATATAATTATATAGATATATAAACTTTCTCAAATGGTCAACTAATGTAAATACGCTATATATTTTTTATTATTAAATCAGCTACGTTATTCGGATTTAAATATCAGTCTAAAATTTCGTTCGTAAGGTTTGGGCTTATTTGCTTGGGAGGTTACACGTTGTATCGTGGGTTTCGCTAATTTGTGAGATTATTGTTATAGATAAAAACTATTCCGTGATTAAATATTGCATATAAATATCGGTAAATCGTGTTAATGTCGTGTTAAATGCTTTCGGTGAGAGCGTGGTCCGGTTTCCGGTTAATATTGTCGTGCGTTTCGCCCGTGTTCGCGTGAAAACTTTTGCCGGTTCTGCGTTCGACTGTTGCGGAGTGGTCTGTGGATGCGTTTTTTCCTCTTCATAGTTTTTTCAATCTCCCGGTTGCTTCCACTTGTGACGGTCACACCGGCACGGCCTCTGTCGCTGGCGCGTTGACTTTTTGCATTCTCGAACGCGGGAAGAAAAAAGAACTATAGACGTCAAATGTCACACGAGCGCGAATTTCAAATTTGGAACGGGCTCCTCCCGGGCGGCTGGCCGCGTTTGTCTTTGGTGGATTTTGGTCGCGTCCCCGCATGCACTGAGTGCAGTTGCAGCGCCTTGGGGGTGTCAGCCTCTGTGGGGTGGGGGCGGAGTGGGAAGCGGCGCCGCGGACTGCGCACGCCCGCGATCGATCCCGCGTGGCCAGTGAGGTGTCCCGACTGAAACTTCCCGCGTGCTATGTGCACGCTGCCTCTGCGAGAAGCCGTGCTCCACATACTAAGTATGGATAGATGGGTCGCTCCTCTATTATGTCATTCACTTTGATGTCTCTCTCGACGCGCGGAGTTGCAGCCGTGAAAGCCTGTAACCGTTACGAGCGACGTCCCTTTGTACCGCGGGTGATTTTGTAAAATCATCGACTGCTACTCGGTCTAAGTAACTGCGGAAAAGTCGACCTATAATCTAATGAATACGATTCACGTCCTGTGGAGTTTGGATAACTTACAAACTACACGTGGCTCACCTTGAACGGTAAAACAGAGACATCTATTGGTTGTTGCCGGAGATGTTTCGTATGAAATATTATATTTAAATATTGTACATATATTAGTCATTGCTTTATGGAACTATTTATCCAATTGAATATAAAATTTCTATGTAACTCTCACGCTATGAAAACTGTTAAGAGGTGTTTAATTATAAATTTTATGACAATGCATTGCTTGGTTTTGAACATAAGGTTTTAATTAAGTGCCTCAAATCTCTACATCGTTTCAATTTCATGTTTTGGGACTACCTATCTTTTTAATATTTATTTAAGGGTATGCCTTAAATAATATTAAAAAGAGAGTTGTCGAGAAAAGGCAAAGTGAGTTTGAGGGTTTACGATCGATCTACCTTGGAAGAGTTTATATTAAAAAGCAACGTATTTTAACGAGGTTAGATATAACTATTCTCATATGTCATAAAGACATGTTTTTATATTCCAAGTTGAGTATTTAATAAAACCGGTACGTTTTCGTTCCCTTTTCTTAAACTCTATTTCTATTTTAAACTACTCCAAAAATACGGTTTGCATGCAAATAATGGACATGGTCTTAGACCAAAGTTTAAAACAATTTTAAAAGGATTTATTTTAGGTAAGAAAATGGAAAGCGAGCCGCCTGTTCACCTGATGTTAAGTGATAGGCACCGCCCATAGTCATCGTGAGGATCGAACCAAGAATACTTCTCCAAGTCGGAATCAAACTACTTTCAATGCCAATCTCCGCGCTCATTGGGCCTTAATTATCTTTATTTGCAATATCATTTCATAATATTGCATAAACTAAAAGTCGTGAATCGATCACTCAATTAAAAACCAAACTTTCTTAAGATCGTAAACACTTACAGCGCCTACATGAATGTTATGACATTTTCAGATCTTCTTAATAAACTAGACCGACTCCTCAATAATTGTATAAGGTTCATATTTGGACTTCGAAAATTTGACCACTATTCCCATTTTCGAAGTCAGCTAAATTGGTTGCAGATTCGCGAGCGTAGAAACAGTCACATTCTTCGTACCCTATTTTCTATACTCTTTGATCCCGTCGCTCCCAACTATCTCAAACAAAAATTTTCCTTCCAATCTGATGCTCACTCTCGCAACCTTCGCTCTGATCACAATCTCTCCCTTCATATTTATCTTTATCGTTCCCCCCTTATGTCCAACTCTGCTTATGTCAAGCTCTGGAACTCGCTACCCATCTCTATCAGAAATTGTCCGACTAAAGAGACTTTTAAACGCGCCGTCTTTAAATTTTATTTAGATAATCGACAATGTTGAATACTGAGTTGCTTCAATTTCCTCTTCTTGACATAATTCTAAAATATCTAATACTTTGTAGGTATGTATATATTTGTGTACGTATATTTGTAATATATATACATATATATATATATATATATATATATATATATATATATATATATATATATATATATATATATATATATATTATCGTGTTCTTTACTATCTCATCTGGCTCTTTCGCACCTCCTTATTCTCTCTGCTTATTTGTCGGTTGGCTGGTAGAGAACACCTAATGGTGTTAAGTCCGCCATTGTACGTTATTGTGCATAAAGATTTTAAATAAATAAAAAATAAATAATTTTCGAATAAAAACAAAAAATCAGAAAAAAAAGGAAAACGAGATTCAGCAGGTACGAATTCCGAAGGTACCGGGGTAAGAATTCGATTTTCATGAAGTTGGAGTCCAAACCGAGAGTTCGTAATATGTACTTTTATCACTGTTTGTATAGGTATATCATCATTTGAAAACGTTAAAAGGTTAAACGGTGAAATTGGTACAAGTTAACCAACGTTTGTTTTCGTAAATTCTACATTGTCCCTAAATAAAATTGCTGCAACTCACTTAAGTTTACATAAAATAATTTTTGTTCAATCATCTTAATTTAAGTCTATTGATTCGAAAGATATAAAATGACTAATATGACTCAGAGATCCTAACATAGATAGATTGAATCGAATGGAAAGCTGAGAGAGACTAATCGCCACGCAATGATTATACGATATTTATTGGTTTGGACGACATTATTCATTGGACGTCCTTAACTCTATAATACGGTATTAGATGCGACTTAGTTATACGTCCGGGCGAAGCCGTGGGCCAGCGGCTAGTTCGAGGCGAATGAAACAACACGAATGATTATTCGCGTAAATATAAACCGGAGTCGAGCGCGGTGCGTGCGGTGCGCGGGCGACGCGGCGACACTCGCATTACGCAAGATTACGTTTCGTCGCGAACAGGCGCGCGCACACCGACGTAGCTTTCGGTGGCGCGGGCGCGAGTCATGCGCTGAAGCGGAAGGTAGTGGCGCTTGAGCGACAGCGATATCCAGCGTTGAATGGAATAATGTCCAACCCTCCTGGTGATTAGTACGATGTATTCGTAGACGGCGTATTCGTAGATCGCACCAGCTCAGTAAATGTGCACGCGCTAATCGGAGTTAAATTCGGGGTCTGTGTTAACATGCGTTATTATTATCAGAGAAAATCTCGCTTTGATTATATGTATTGTATAAAAAGACCAGAGTCGACTGATATAAAAATACGTTATATAAAAATGCAAATGAATTCCGTGTTACATGAGAATATGATTATCACTCTCAATAAATCCGTTCGATAGAAGCAATCATTTAAGTGAAAGTGTAATGAATTATAGGCTTAATAAGTAATGATTCTGAAAATAATGTTTTAGTAGTAGTATTACATAATTGCTTTTGTAATAGTTCAGTGAAGAACAATCTTTCGAGTCGGTTAAGTGTTAAAATTTAATGCACAGACGATGTCAAGCGATTTCCGCAGGAAGCTTGTAAGAAAATATTAATATGATCATTAATGAATCAACAAAGCGATGAAATAGCCTTAATGACGTTATGAAACGACCCCCGGTTTTCTTGCATGCTCTCTTCTGGTGATTCTGTTATAATTCTAATGTATAACGTATCCTCACAAAATAGACATACATTTGACATGTGTAAGTTTACGAATCGACAGTGGGTTTTGACTTTCGTAACTGATTAAAAAAGTCAAAATGTTACAAAAAACAGTGTAGAATCAGCGGAGGTATCTTTTATGGTAAAGTAGTCAAACGAGCAAGTTGGTCACCTGATGGTAAGCGATCATCCGCAACAATGACCACTTGCACCATAGGAGTCACGAATGTGCTGCCCGCCTTTGCTGGAATTAGCGCCCGCTCTCCCGTCATCCGCCAACTTGTACCACGCAAGTTACCAAGTGAAAGTCGCAACTGCCAAAATCTCATGTGAAAGTGAGCGAGAGTTCGCCTGATCGATGCCATAATTATTATTACACATTATATGAGATATGCTAAAAGCAAAAGCCGGATGCGAGGAGCGACTCGAAGAAAACGCACTTTAAAATGAATTAAGTTTCGGATGCTGTTAAAAATGGTTCAAGCGCGTAATGTAACATATAAGAAATACACATAAAGACTTACGATATTTAACATTTTATTTTTTGCTTCATGAAAATTTGTTAAAGTTACTTTTTTATGTAGGTAGGATCGCATTCCGAAGTCTAATGTTATGAATAAAAGTAGTTATGAAATAACATTATAATAACAATAAAATAGATTATCGTGCATTATGCATAACTGTTGGGCTGATGACAATTAAATACACAATACATGTACTTATTTGTAAACACTGAGGTGGAGAAAAACTTTAAAAAGTAATGAATATTACATTAATAGTAATATTACTTTACTTAAGGCTCAGTATTCAATTAATGAAGGATTATGGTCGTAATTTTAACTGATGGCTCCTATTACCATTTACATGTACCATTAATGTTTTGTTAACTATTGAGAGATTACATATATTACGAGGTAAAGTAGAGGAATCTTCCCAACGGCGACCCAGAATCAGTGCAAACAGAAATAATACAAAAAACCGATAACAATTATCTCGAAAAACAAATAGGCGCATCGAAAAAATGCCCTTCAGCCCCGAAAGAGAAAAATGATATTTCCCAAGAGTTTCCTAACATCCAGTGTCTCACTCCGACGCAAGGTCGCCTTTATATCTATCTGACTCGCTCGCAGTGTGCAATACGAGATCTCATGCAACTAAAGACCTTGATAAATTGCAAGATTCGTGATAGATAATTGGTATACGGGTGATTAATATACAAGCCTTTGTGATTATACAAAATCGTTAAAAAAATTAAAAAAAAAACATTGATTAGAATCCCATCCGACATCCCCTTAGGACTACGAAATACATCAAAGCATTCGAAACTGGTAACGAATATGAAATTAAAATACTTTTTTTTATAAAAAAAATTGATGCCGCGAAAGCATAATCGCGTTACAACAGTTCCAACAAAGTCACGATGGGACGAAAGTACAACGGACGAACAGTCTTAATTGTATACATATTACTCACATCCAACGCTTTGCATTGCAATCCAAAAGTCACAAATGCCACACCGAAGCAGGTCCAACGAATAGCACAGCCTAAAAATTATTCTGTGGTATAAAAAAAAACAGCACAACTGTCAAAGCTTGCGGCGAAATGTCTCTGGCCGAATATTCGCGGTGGCGGCTCCGGGTGCCGAAATTTGAGTTTTGGGCGCGTAAAGCGGCCGCGCGCGCGCGTTCTGCAGCACCAACTAAATTTTGTAAGCGCAGGCGAACGGTTTGGCTCACTCCGGCACAAGGCAGGACTGTGAAGGTGCCGGCCACAAGCACTTAATTTGAAGAGTTGTTCTAGGCATCAGAGGGACGCTAGTTCGTTACATGCAACAAACAGGTCTCAATTTTTGAACGGTATTACTTTCAACGCACTCCGCAAACAGGGTTAGCCTTAGCACTGTTAGAATCACCATTAGAGTATATAGCGGACCATTTAAGCGACTCTAAGCCTTTGTCCTTACACATTCGATGTATATCGCTCAGTCTACTTTCTTGATCGAGTATTCATTTTTCTATATTATTTATATTAGTACAACATATATTTTATTAGACTAAAACTTCTAAACTAGTGTACGACTTCTACAGTTGTTCACGGTTCTGTTTAGAAATAGAGTCACTTAAGTCCTACGCTATTGCGCTAGAATTGAGGCTTCATTTCTGTTGGCTGCTACAAAAATAACACTTGAATACCGTGAAATATTTATTTATAAACTCAATCTGCCAAACGAGCAACCCTTAAACGCTGAGTGGTTTTCGCTCGCAAATTAACCCTTTTGTATCTCCCGGCACCCCTGTGCAGAAATGACAGGACATGTGAAGCCCATTCAGCCTTAAACCGGGAGCACCGGTTTGGGAGGGTTGACGTGTATTTTTAAACTAATCGTAGGGTCAGCGTCGAGTGTCCGTACTACAGAGGACGTTCCTATTGTCGATGCTTTGTATCAATTCGCGAGCGTGGTACCAGAGCTGAGGGGTGTGGAAATGCTGACCAGCGAAGGATTGCGACACAACAAATGTAATTGCTCAAACGACGGACGTACATCGCCTCAACGCACATAACAATTTTATAAGATTAGTCCTATAAGTACATTATATTGTGTACACAAGGAGCATCGTCTGATATGTTGTAAACTAAACTTTAGGTCGCGAATTTGTATAAAATATAGATTAGCTCGGATTGTATTACAATTACAAAACTAATAATGTTGGTAGAATTCACGAAATCGATTAAATATTACAAACAAATTGCTAAAAATAGAACTAGAAGTTTAACTTAACTAATCCCTGTAATCACTGCTGTCACTCTGTTTCTGAAGCAGATTACATTATAAACACCCAAAACTACCATTGAATTAACGATCAAATTTTTTAAGACTCAATACTTTCACGATAATTATCTCTATAACCTGTGTCGATCTTTACAAGATAAAAAGTTCAAACCTAATTTAAAATACTCAATCCGTTTTTAAGCAATTAATAGGCAACCATGTTATGTTTACATAAATAACTTTTTATATTAACTTAATAAATATTTAATTATATTGCTTAATAATATTCCTCAGTAACAAACATCACCATCATTTCAACCTGTTTGAGTCCACTGCTGAACATAGGCCTCCCCATAGACTGGCACGAAGTACGATCCTGAGCCACCTGCATCCATCGACTTCCAACTAGTGGGTCGTAAAGTCAGTAATAATATTTTGAATCACATCATTCACAACTTCGTGAAATTTTTTTAGGATCGAGGATTCTACGAAATTTGTAAATCCTTTGATTAAAGTTTTCATATGCTAAATCAGAGTTATATGATATTATTGTTTGTTAACCCCAATAAATGAAATGGGTACGCGTTTGGTTTAATAAACAAGGGTTAACGCGTCCAAATTCAAGTTCATTTTATAAAACCATTAATCAACAAGTGTTTAATAGTGTCTAACTAAGGCAATTACTTCATCCCAAGCTACAATTATAATTGTATACAATATAAAATTTTTTTTTTACTCAAATTGGCAACAGTCAAAGACATATGTTAAAAACTTTAATAAATACTAGTATATCACTTCTGATATAAAAACCTGATATAAAAACTCACGATAATTTTTGGTGCCGTCAAAATCAAAATTTAAACAACAATACAAACTCTTTTATTTAAATTAAGTTACTTTTTCCGCCCACACGTAATTTTTTTTTTGTGAATAATAACCTCGGACCCATCGGTTTAGTTCATAATTTGCGCGAACTCATACAGTAAGAAGTAATTTACTATAAACGGGAATACTGGAGTATCTATTACTTTTTCGACTCTAACTATCCCATTCGAATAGTAAGCGGTCAAAAGACCTCTTTGCTTGAATAACAGTATAGCATAGTATAGCTAGTTTATAAGATTGTTACGTAAAATATAATCAAATACTTCATTATCCTTACTAATATTACAAAGGCGAAAGTTTGTATGTATGAATGGATGTTTGTTACTCTTTCGCGCAAATACTACTGAATGGATTTTAATGAAACTTTACAATAATATAGCTAATATATCAATATAAGACATAGGCTATAATTTATATACCTAATGTATATTATCTGTCTTTCTGTCTGAATGTTACGCCTTCAGCCTATTCTACGCAGACGTAGTGGCGGTATGTATAATAAAATATCACGTCCGATCGATTTCCGAATTAGAAAAAGCATCCTTAAATATAAAAATCGTATACAGTTTACTGTAAGTCCCGTTTAATGAGACAGTTGCCGAAATATGAATGTTTTCTCCTCCCAAGACAATCTAAATAATCGCGACGCTCCACTAAAGTGATACACGGTAACCCAATTTCGTTACGATAGGGCAGCGATAA